CAACCCCAAATTGTCACCGTTTTAAGGGGTGGCCGCGGGTGGTTTGCGGGCGAGCGGGGAGAACAGTGTCGCATCGCAGCGCAACACGGGGCTTTTCCAAACGGCCTGTCTCCATAAATGGTGGGGTCCATGCGGCGCCGGTCCTCGAGCGCACTCGACGCAAGCGCCCACCTGATCAGATTTGCTTAAAGATCTTGTGTAGGTACTCAGATCATTCGGGCACACGCGTCCTTCAACATCACAGCCACATTCGCCCAAAGCCCAAAAAAAAAGTCAGCCCATTTCCGAGTCGGCCAATCGGGATGGCGCCATGCTGGAGGTCGCGCGCTACCCCGAGTTGCGCCGAAGGGGACCGCAACGTCTGCGCGTCCTTGCAGTCGAGGTCGGCGGCCGATGTAACGAGGATTCCCTGCGGCTCGTCAAGCGCCTCAGTCGCTTTCGCAGCAAGCGCGCGCCTCCCGCCTTGCGTGCTTCAACGGCGCAGGGCTGGGCACGGCGGTGGTGGTTTTTTTCCCTGCCGTGGTCCAGAGTGCAGTCGGCAGCGCTGCTGTGAGCGCGTGGGCCATGCCCAGTTTGCCAGCAGATGGGGATGACGTCCTTCCTGCCGACCTGCTCCAATTCGCGGATCCGGCGCCCCCAGTCAGCTGCCTCCGTGAGAGCGATCGCGGAGGCGCTTGCATTCCAGCTGCGGGGGACAGAACGCTCAGGGTTGTAGCGGGTGCAATGGGATTGCGTTGAGCTCGGCCCAGCACCTGTGCGTGCTGGCTGCTGAGGTCGGCGGCCGGGGCGCCGAGCGCCGACCGCCTTGCGCGCAGCGGCTGCGCAGGGGGTGGGTGCCTCGCTGGTGGAGCATTCTGGCCGTCGCGGTCTCGCGTGCTGTCTGCAGCGCTGTGCTGGGCACTTCGCCGACGCCATCCCCTTGGCAGGCGTCATGGACCTGGCTGATGCCGCGCTGCCAAGGCGGCTGCCTCTGCGCTAGATAGCGCTGGGCAGGAGTGGTGCGCCGAATAGGGTCGCCCGCTCAAGCGCGCATTGCCGGTGAGGGGA